CTGCTGCTACATTGACTAGATTGTTAACTCAGCATCAGTTAGCTAGTTTAAATCTAACTTGTATAATTCTACTCCACCTTGAAATCACTTTTGTGAATACAACTTAGCCTTCTTTCAAGCCAGGACTGAGCTGCATAAGAACTACAAACAGCTTTTTTTCCATTTTAAAGTTACCTGGGGGAGCGTTTGAGCCAACACGGAATTACCAAGATATGACCAAAAAAACCTGGCAAGTGGCAGAAGTTCTGGCACTATTTTCTTTTCAGTTTTGTAATTCATGCATGTGTCAAATTCCGCTTACAGTACAATAAGAAAAAATAAATATGTAGATAAAATAATTAACAATACTTAACAGAAGCACACTGTAAAAGAAATATGACACAAGACCATTATAGTAAAGGAAATAATTATAAAAGTTTAACTTATTTAGTAGTCTGCTGTTTTCCCAATCTGCAATTCTGTTGTTTCTAGATTACAGCACAAATTAACTAGTTACGGCATCGACTGTATGACCAAAGGCAAAATATTAAGTTGTTTAAGTATTCTGGTTATTCTGTCAAATGAGGATAAAAGTACTTCTTAACTTCATACGGGTGTTGTGAGGATAAATACATTAAATATTAAGAGACAGGCAGACCGTTGTGAGATGGAGGTCCCCCATATATTTAACAAGATAATCACATGTTCAAAATCATGTTATAGCAGTTCTGCAAAATACCGTTCAACGCTGTCTCCACAGCTGACCAAATGAATCTCTTAGCCCTGGGGAATCTTCTTTAGGTAGAACTCATTTCTATAAAATTTTACAAAGGTGACTTAAGAGAATGTGTTTTACCTCATGATGGGAGCAGGCAAACAATGAGCGCATGATCAGCTATGGCAGTTCAGCTGCCAAGCAGCAACTTGTTAACTCGCCATAACTCAATCATGTTCAATTGTTTGCCCACAGCCCCGGGCTACAGACAGACATTTGGTCTGCTAACAACTGCGCCAGATGAAGACATTACTATCCCAAGCTATTTGTTATCACACATCTGCTGGAGATTATCATCTCCACAGCTCTGCCGGAGGAAGAAATCATGTGAGCACTCCCTAATATGGTTTGTACAAAACCAGCCAATTTAATTTAAATAGGTGAGTTGAGCTAACCAGGCTGGTTTTGCCCAAAGCATATTAAAAAATGCAGACAAAAAACCTTCTTTACTGGCAAAAGAGTAGAGGATGAAAACAAGCAGCTGGAAAAATTAACACCTTCAAGCAGTGTAGCTGGATTGGGGAGGAGACTGTTCCTGTCCTAATGCAGAGAGATAATGTAAACAGAGAACTTTTTCAAGGCTATACAGGAGAAATAAATGCAGCTTCTAAACCAGTATTATTTAGTACTTTTTATTAATTTAACTAATTAATCGGAAAACTACATATTTGTAGATTAAAGCTTATCTGTAAAGGTAGCATAAATAGATATATATATTTAAATGTCAAATACAGAAGATCACGTGTTGAACTGTATCAGCATAATATAATCTATCCAGGTTCTAAGTTTTGTGGTGCAGGACTGTTCCCCTCCTTAACATTTGGTTCATCAGTAGCCGTATCAACAGTTCTCAACAATCTAGTTATCTTGCCACTAGTAAAAGTTGGTGCTAGTTTATATAGGATTGGTTCATTATCATTTATTTTGACAGAAGAAACCAAATACAAGCAACCCAGTACAGTAAAGCTCGCCCAGAAAGTATCAGTATTATTCCACCACAAAGAGACAGCTGCAAACCACTGCCGTGTTTAGAGCTCCACACCTTTTTGATGCGGATTTACAGAGTGAATTATTCCACTAGTCACTGATCTAATGTAATATGGGTATTTACATATTGTCTACATGCTGAGACAAGAACTGTGTTCAGTCATCCAAAAGGGGTGAGAAAAGTCAAGGCAGGCACAGAAAAATGTGTGTGTGTATACATATCTCATATACATACGAAAACCAGAAAAAAGGTCTTCCAGAACAGCAAACAAAAAAGATGCAGTCCCACAATAAGAAATACAGTTGTGTGTAAACTATACAAAGACAGACCCAGAGAAATTCAGTCTTGCAATAAAAGCGGATTAAACTGTATTCTGGATAAGCACAATAATTTTATAAAAATTTCCAATACTTACCCACTGCTGCTGTTCTATCACCGCATTTAGCAACAAACAGTAAGACAATATAAGGTCACAGTGATTTACTTTTTGTATGTCTATTTTTAAGGAGGTTACTCATCTGAATTACCCTGACATGTCAACTGTAATAGTTTAACACACAAAGAACTAATTTAGAATTAATTTTAGAAAGCTTCAGACTTTCAACTGTGAGTAAGCACCTGCATTCAACAAAAGATTTAACTGCATATGCATGTTGTACACTGAAATAATGAAAGATTTACTACAATGTCACTTAATTCTGTAACTTAACCTTGTGACATTTGATTAGTATCACTGTAGTTTAGTGTTTTATAAAGTATTTAGGCACATGCAAAAATCTAAATGATAGATTTCCATTTTAAGATTTCATACGCAGTAATGAAAATGCACATTTGCAACTAAGGTGATATTCACCATTTTATTAACTCTGTGAACAATATTTGCTACTAAAACAATAATTTCTATAGGTACCTTGTTAAGCAGAAACATTTTCCTTCTCTGTATTGTCTGGTGAAACTAAGATTAACCCTTTTGGTAGAAGTGATAATTTAAAATTGTCATAACAAAATCAGCTTTCAATATTAACTAGAGATAAATCTGACATATGTCACTATGCGCCATGAATTTCGTTTGTAAGGAACAAAATACCAGAGGAATTGTCTTGAATCGAATGAGGATAGGTACTATGAACATATGAGGAGATGAACTAGGTATTTGTCATGTGTTGTTCCTATATATCTGCAACTCAATCTCTATTTTAGTTGTAACAGCTTTTGATAAAAAGCAAAATATTAGGTTATACAACACTTAAACTGTAGAAAGAAAGCAGTCACCAGACATGTTATTGGCCTGAGAGAAAAAAAAACATTTGCACATGGTGCAAATTAAATTCTTATTTTCAGCAGCTAAACTGTAGCAAGAATGTTAAAATTTGTTCAATATACGTCTTGTAAATAAGACATATATGACTTGATATTCTAAGACAGCAGATGGCCTGTTAAAAATATCATTATCATAGAAGTTTGAGAACTTCTCTTCAAGTCACTTTAAAGAACTAACAGTAAAGTTTTTGTGGTAGGCAGAGAAAATGGCGGTTTTCTGAAAAAGCACAAATAACCATTTTGAAATAGTGACTCCATCTGGAGGAAAAAGCCTTTGAAAACAGAGATGATGGTACCAGGAGATGTTAGCAGGTGACCATGCTATTTTTAAAGGTATTATAGTATGATAATATACTGTGGCTTTATGTACATCATAATAATGGTTTATGTAAGTCTTACTTTAATATTACAGATACTTTACGGAAAATGCCAGTCTTCAGTCTTGGATTTGCCACCTATTGCTTCTACACAACCCTGCCAGATGTTTATTGGGATAACAGTCTACTAACATACTGCTGATCGGATATGAAGAGAGGTTGAAGATCACTTCAGGTATTTAATACCATTTTAAAAATCTGTATTCTAACTGCTTGGGTAGGTAGCAATCACTTCACAAGAGCTTCACTGGTCAGAATAACAAACATATAAGTTATGATTCTGAATTCCTCGGACACCGTTTTACATTGCTACAGCATCAAAAAGATCCTAAAATGACTTTAAATATAATCTGTTTCTTCCTGCTCACTTTATATCCACTTTATACTCTCAGTTTCATGAAAGAAGCCTGATAATAAGAGTGCATTTACGGTGAAAATTAATATCTAAAGTGAAGTTATCCTAAAATTCTGAGCAAAAATATGATTTAACAGGTGCGCTTGCTAGAAAACGTATGCAGAAATTTTCAAAATTTTTTGGGTTAATAGAAGAGGTTTAATAGACAAAGATAACCACAATTTCTGAAGATGAATGACCAACACTTGCATAACCAAATGTTTTAGAGGGTGTCACTAGAACTTGTATACAATGAAATAGATTCATATTTAATATGCATATTTTTGAAAGAAGTATTATAACATAATGTATAAACGTATATAATATATAAACATATTCAAAGCAAGTATTTAAGAATATTAAAAACTTATTTCAGGATGACCACACATATACTAAACGACAAGTGCCTGAAAGACAACTGTCTCTCTCAAAACCATAGTATTACATGATGATATAAATCTAGTATAACTTTTTGAAAAAAGTAATTTGATAGCACATTGTCATCTTTACAGAACAACATAAAAATTGTGTAAGGTGTTGTGCATAGCAAGGGAAACATTTCTGTAGTTTTTAATTTAAAAAAATACTAGAATTAAAATAATTATTTGGCAGAATAGATTCGGCAGGTAACATACATAAAAAAACCTCTAGGAAGAGACTCCTAGACCAGTGCCCATCAGTTCAGTGCTGAATTTTTTGTCTTTTGAGGGGGAATAAAGAAGCTGGAGGATAGAACTAGGTTTGTTGTTAATAAGTTTTCAAAATTAAATTTTTATTGTCAAAACACAATATAAGTGTTACAGTATTTGAGTTATCTTCTTGATTTCAAAAGCTTGTATGCAAAATGGTAATTTTACACATTTTCAGCACTTAACTTACATGCCAGAAACACAGACCTTACTTTGGCATCCATTTAATTCTGATGTTTACTAAAGAGATTAAGTTTAGTAAGTGTAGTTGGATATAGTCAGCAATAAGATCTAATACCCATATTTTAAGCAAAGATTATGCCATATAAAAGAAATTCTTGAAAGTAAATCACAAAAAAGCCAGAACACCTCTGAAAATACCCCAAAAGAATGGTGTCATTTCTTAGACAAAAATTTGAGAGTTAAGAAATCAACAAATTCATAAACAGTATTAATGACAGCTGCAGCATTAACTTACCTGCTAGCTGTTTTTACAGAGCTGTTCTTCTTGTGTCCTCTCTCCGATCGGTTGTCTCGCAAGAGTTGAAGCTATTTAAAAAAAAAAAATGTTCAGAACAGTCTCACAAGCAATGCCTGTATTTGCTTTTTAGAAATGTTATCCTGACAATGCCATTATTTCCTGTCTTGAGTAATCTTTCAGTAGTTTTCATCCGACTCTAAAAGAGATGGCTATCTAATAGAATTTTACAACAATAGCTAGTATTTCAAGATACAGCCACCAATTTAAAATTCCTAAATAATTGAAAATGTACAAATTAAAGCATTCTCAAAGCATACTAGAAAGCCATGCAATTCACAATTTCACAATTAATTTATCTGTAAAATTTTATAATTGTCACAATTTCAATTTAAATTTTCAAAGTTGTATAACGAAAAGTGTTGGGAGGACACTAAAATTACGAAAAACTACTCAAGTTGGCACTTGTATCTAAGCAGTTATGAAACAGTTATAAACTCTTCTAAGCCCCAGGAGCTTTTTTAATTTGAAAGTTGCAGAATCAACAAAAACATAGTATTAAAGCTTCCCATAATAGTGGGGAAGTAGGAATAACGAAGGATTCATTTAACTGAAACAGTGACTCAGCTTCTGGAACAAGCTCCGATGTACTCTATCTATTTTTAGACAAATAAAGGAAGACTTTTCATTCAGACTACCACCAATATTCAGAAGTCTATTTCCAGCATTATGATATTTGTCAGGATGAGTAAAGTGGCAGTAACAGTAAAAAAACGACTGTGAAAAAGTTACACTAAAGAAATTAAAACTAGACAGTATAAAAATTACAAATGTTTCTTGAAACTAATCATATATTGAAGAAAGTATAGAATGAAAGACTGTTTAGAAACAGACTACAGGTAAATTGATCTAATAGTCCCAGCAAACACATTTAAAAGTCCACTGGAAATTAGGAAATGATGAACTTTATGACTTGGCCAACCACACCTTAATGTTGTACATGAGCATGGACTCCAAAAAATGACACCTATCTGAAAAATTACACTTGACTAATTTTTCCCCAACACTCTATAGCTTGCTTCTTGTTTAAGGAATGCTCCTCATCATTTCAACTATGTAGTTCTCAGATGCAGTAAAAATAGTGCAGTCTGGTTTTAAAAGGCAATCTGAAGGATACATAAAGGTAAGGCACCTTATTCTGATAATTTTTTCATTTTCTTATCGTCAACAAATCAGAGCACTTACAATTCATATTTAAATGTAGCCACAATTTTTACCAGCATGACATTCATACAATGTGTATCTATTTCATGATCAAGCTAAGGAGAACAGTCCTACAGTTATCAATGTTCTCTGACTGATAAGTAAACTGTAGTTATAGCATGTACAAATACAGATCACCTGCCAGACTTTAAATTTGGCTAGTTAATTACTTGTGTTCTAACATAACAACTTCAACTCCAGAAATTAATTAAAAGAGAAAGTAGTAAACCCATGCAACCAACAGTTATACACTATGGATCTTCACAAATTTAGTGCGAATTTTATAGGCTGTCAAAATTGTCATAATTACATTGCACCATCATTCTCATTTCTTTTACCTGTCTAAAAAAAATAAGCCATTATGTGCCAGTAGCACCTATATTATTGATGACATTAGCTTTGCTTCACAATTCGTTAGTAATCTGTAAGTTACGAATACAGTGAACTTCAGATAAGCTCTGAAAACACATCTCTTGGGAAATACGAAATAAACATGCAAAATTTAGAATTATTTCAAATCTACTATTATCTGGAAAAAATGAATTAATTTGTCATTATATACCAGCTAAACAGATGTTTTTCATGCTCTGGTGTGTGAAATGCTGAATGGATATTGCCAGTATATATGAAGTACGTTTTTATATTTCTTTTTTTATATTTCTCAGCACTGATATTTCCATACTGTTTTAAGCTTAGAATCTTTTAAAAAAGTACACAGTACACTTCAGTTAACTACTCTATTATGTGAGACAATCAATATATTAAAAAATCTAATTTAAAAAAAAAATCACTCAAACTTATTCTAATCTAGCAAATTTGACTACTTATAGCATCAACATTTCAGGAATAGGATAAAGATTAACCCAAGAGAACTTCTTATCATGATTAATTAAGATGAAGCATGTTCATATTTAAAACGCTCTTTTTAATGTGTTTCTTCTACTAGGAAATGTGTTACAAAATAATGAGATTTAAATGTGAATCATATAAAGCCGTCTGTTTAGACGTTAAGTGTCAGTCAGCTTACTGTAACATGTTAGAAGTTCACAATTTACAGCTATAACTGTACTATGTTTTATCCACTCTGGCAATTTTGGGCACGTAATATAACTTTTAGAGATTCAGCTTGCTCTGGAGTTCAAAAGAAGGGAGAGGGGACAGGAAAGAGTATACACTGATAGAAACTATGACTTACTGGAGCTACAAGTGTTCAGGATGGATCATCATAAGATGAACCCTCCAAAGATTCTATAGATCTTGTTTCCTTTTGAAGTTTCAAATCTATTTAAATTTGTAAATGTACTGGCAAACTGGCACAGAGCTAATGAAATCAACTGTGTTACATCAATTTTTACCAATTTAAAAAATTTACTATGGAACTTTAGTCTTAAATTTCAATGCATTGCTGATACGTTCAGCTACTTTTACTGAATAGTTGAAGTTAACTATACGTTTATGAAATGAAAGCAGACTTATTTTCATATTATAAAGTTCTTGGACAGTATGTTCTGTTTAGACCTTACTACCATCCATAAAGAAAGGTATTCCCCCATGTCTGAAGACAAGCTAACGAAGTAAGTGCTATGTTGCTAATCAAATATTAAACATGTCTTCGCATTCCCTCAACCACATCTCTAGGCCTGGACCTCCTAGGGACTACATTGTAGGGGCTCAGCAGATAAACTAGTGAGATATTTTCACCAGTATCTGCACCACGATGGAGATTTAACAGTTCCTTTTTTACTGCTGTGGTCGTTTTAACCAATGAAATTCAGAAAAATGGAATTGAAGATCTTCCTGTAGAAGTCTGCCCACTCTTGTCACTGTTCTGTATTTCTTAATTTTGCAAGTCAAATGTTTTGCTTTCCAGCATTTTGAGAAACGCAGTATTTGGAGATACAATTAACAAAATCGTTAAAAAAAAAAAACCCAGACTTTTCATTTAACCTGTTAAAACTCAAAGTTACTTACCTGAAATTAAGTGACTAATTAAAGATTTTTAATTAAGGGACTTTTTGAAATGCACTGGTGTTAATACGTTTCCTTACAAGAAAATATGAAATCAACCTGCTTTGTTCATAATTTCTTAAAATATTAGCCCACTACCTCTGGAGTAGAGGTAGTTAAATTCCTTTATACATCTCAAGTAAACTGTTCTTGATCAAAGCAGTTCTTACCTGGCTGTGTTCCTTCCTAGCCCCAGGGCTAAACCAGTGGCTGTGGGAGAAAAAGAAAAGACAGGTTTAACAATATAACTAACAAAGCACATGCTGTCATATGACCAGTCTGTGCGTGCTTTTGGGTATTTTATTGTCTGCCAGGAAAATACAGCCTTTGGCTATGCTTTATTTTAATGGGATATTTTTACTGCACTTTCTAAGTCTGTAATAGTTTTGAAAGAACGCACCACAAATTTCACTTCTGAGTAGCTATTGGCTTTATAGGTAATTATATTTTGTCAAACAAGCTAAAATAATATATAAATGATAGTATTTTAATATACTGTAATGCATGTGCTATAAATAAAAGTAATTCCATATTTAGTACTGAAGTGTTACTTATTAATGATCATAGCTGAAAAGATTTTTAAGTTCCGTGGACTACCTGGTAGTTGTTAATGTATTATTTCACAAACTGAGTTTGAATCTAAAGTGAAATTCAAAGTCCGTAAATTCAGTGGCTTCATATCTCCACACAATTGCACAATTGTGACTATTGGCAGCCTTATTTCATAGAGGTGAAAATTTGGACTAAGACGTCGACACGCAGGGACAAGAACTCACAATGTGACTTTTCCCTCAATAGCAGTAAAAGCATATTAATACTGGTTCACATACACACTGTGATCACATAGAGCTGAATTAACATCTGAATGTAGCTGTAGTAAGCATTATACAAACCTGGGGCAAATCTTGACACTTGCAAAATGAAAAGGAGAAGGAAAAAACAATTAAAACAAGGGGGATCTGAAATTACATATAGTACCTACATATTACTCATGTAAGCAAGCAATAGGTTTTGGGCAAAGGATAAAATAATTCCATCCATTATAATATTGCACAAAGACCATCACATTATCTGCTATTACGCTTGTAAGTTCCTCTAGAAGTGTAACCATAGATTATAAACTTAACCTAGTCATGCTTTTTCTGAAGTAGTTAAATTCAATAGTCTACTCTCATTTTTTTACCCACAGCAGCCACATAATGACACTAAAATTTTTACTTTAATTAATATACTGAGAAGAAGCAGTTTCCACAGAATTGTCTGGTCTAACTTTTTTTTTTTTTAAGTCACAAATCTGAAAGTTTTCTGGCTTTTTGTCACTGATTTTTTGTGAGTTTGCTGATGAGCAGTCAACCACCTCATTCTTGTATACAAGACCAGCTGTCACCAAAACCTGCATACCGCTAACTCCTTTTTCTACTTTTAAGGGGATTAAGGACAAGAAGTTGGAAATGACAAAAGAATGACAGCAATAAAGTTAAAAGTATACTTTGAGGTAAAAATTAGAGACATTTATATATTTTGGACATGAAACGTTCATCAACTGCACCAAATAGTTCAAAATCTGAGGAAAACAGGGAGATCTCATACACACACAACTTTGATGTTGGCAGTGGATGAAAAGAAAAACCATCACATTTGCGAGTGACCCAACAAATCAGGTCACAAACATCCAGAAGCTGACGAAGGTAAGAAATATAATAGGTTAGGTCTAAATTCCACATAGATGAGTGTCTTGTCTCTGACCAATGTCAACAGCAAATGCTCAAGGAGGAGCAGCAAACTGGGGTATCCTCCTCCATATAAACTCTGCTGGTTTGTGGCAAATCAGTGGATTAGAAACTAAATTATTTGATATATTTTCCAATAGAAATACACTTTACTAAGTAATTTGAATGCGTCTCATATTTAGACATTAAAAAACATAAAGAATAAGACCTCTGGTAATGAGAATGTGATATTCACGTCACACTTTTTTATAATTTTGTCCATTCACTTAATTACAGTATTATTTGTTTGCTTGTTTGTTTTAATAAAATAAAGTAAAAACCATAAAGTATCAGTTGAATTACTTTACGTTAGAAATAACTTATGAAATCACAACCTCTTTAGTTAACACACACAATACCAAGTTATGGGGTGCAGCAGAAGTGGATTAGTAGCATAAAACAGTTGGTACTGAGGATCTGATGTTTGTAGTGTATGTGCTTTGGCAAATTTTGTTTTAAACTGATAAATGTATCCCCAAACATATTATTTCCTAATCATGCATGTCTGCGTTTTAGATTTCTGATTTAGAAAATATAGGAAAACTTAATCTTCTTATTGTAACTATTAAAAAGAGATAACCAAGAAATAATGCTGCTAGTGTTGTCAGCTGAACAGAATAAGAGTTTACAGTAATGGCATACTGGAATAACTTAATGAACTGAACGACATTCCCTATTTACATGTGTCCAAACAATTAATTCAATGTCTTTTTGTGGAATTTATGATAACCTTCTTCCTCACATGATACATCATGTTTAAGACTCAAAGATGCAATGCTTGTTTATTTTTATATATTCAAGCTTAGCATTTCTGAATTTCCCTTTGGAGAAAAATAAAGGTGGTCTTTTTAAACAGCCCATATGTGGTATCTAGCCTTAAGGAGTGTTGCGTTTTAGGAAAGCATATACTTAAGCAGGTTAATAAAAACACTTTTATAAAGCACTGAACTTCACGTTTCATTAAGAAACATAAAATGAATTACAAAGGATTATAAATATTATTATTAAATAAAGATCATTATGTAACTGAGCTGAGGTTCTCTTATCACGTTTGTACAGTTGTAAAGTGTGGCTTTGGGACAGAGGTACTACTGTAAAGCAAACAATAATAAAAAGTTATAACTCTCATCACTGATACTCACTCATGGTGAAGAGAATCCTGAGACAAGTGAACCGTTTTCCTGCTACCGCCTGGTCCTGGAGTCATCTAATGGAAAAAAGCAGGAAAAAAAGTCTTTGAATAATGGGGCAGCATACACACACAGTGATTGTTTATTAAGAAAACATATCATAAATACTAAATACAAAATAGAGACAGTACACTAGATACAGTAAATGCAATTAGCAATATCGGCAATTTTGAAGTAAAGCGAGTGCAGAAAGTGCTATACAAGATTTACCAAAATCCTTAATATGTAATTCTGATTGGATATCAGACATCAGACATTTACAGATGTCAGGAGCCTAACTGGCTTTTGAAAAGTCCATGAAGCACTTCATCTCCAAAAAATGAAAGTTAGATGTTTTGAAAGTCATATTCAACATACTATCCTTATTTATGGATAATACAGCAACAAATTTATTAACAAATACTCCCAACCTTTGTATCCCAACACAAAGCTTTTGAAATTCAAGTTGATGTGGGATAGAAAGCAATATATACCGAAACCAAAATTACATAGTATGCTCAATTTAAGAATGATCTTAAGAATGCATGATAGCACATGCAGACTTTTGCAGATGATGATATTCTGGTATTGCTCAAGAATGCATTCAAACAGCTTCATTTTTATTTTTAGAATCTGCTTAATTTGTCTGCATGTGTAGATAGGTAAAAGCAGAAGAATAAGAGACCACCTGATGAAACTCATGCTTGAAGAGCCAGAGCAGAAGGCAAACTATTCCTGTTAGAAAGAATGCAGGAACAAATTTTCAGTTCCTTGAAGATAGTTTTATAGCCAGTAGATGACCACAGGTGGGAATGAAGTCAAATGTTCTGCCAGTTTTGAAAGGAGACCACAAAACTCAATGAGAATACATTTATATGGCTCAGGCTTGCCAAAAGTACATAAGCAGAAGATTCACAGATAAAAGCAGTCTACTCTTTGTTGAAAGAACAATGTGCTCAACTTTTAAAGAAAAGCATCCCTATTCATCTGGTCTCATGCTGGAGAAAAGCCAGGGCAGTCGGAGCTCCAAGTCTGGAAAACTTTCAAAGAACACTGAATAATTTGAAAGCTCCATGTGGTTAAAGTATTTCACCAAATCTGTTTCTTTGATCTGAAGAATGACGTCACTTGGGGCAGAATTGAGAAACCTAAAGTGTTGTCACCTTTCTGGCTGGTGATGATTGAAAAGAATTGGTGACACCTTACCGCAGAAAAATCTATGCAAACATACAAATCCCTAGTAGAAGAAATCATGGCAGCCACACGATAACAATAAAATAGTGACCAAACGTTACTTTTCCAGTGTCATAGTTCACCTAATAATAAGAGCAAGAAACGTCAATTCACAAAGACAGACCTAGAAATATGAACAAGTATTTTAATATGTAATTTCCAAATGTTGAGATTAATAACTAAACTGTTACTTTAACACTATAGGTAAACATGTAGCTCAGCTCTCGAGAGTTACATCCTGCATTAATCTCAAAATGAGGTTTTCATGCTATTCCAGTGGGTATCCCTGGAATATAGTAATCCATTTTCTACACTGTGGCTATAAGAAAAGCCGACTGTGCCTATGTCATGCTTTGTTAGAGGTTCATGATCACATTATCTCATGGTGGACCTGACACTTTTATTCAGTTTACAGTATGTTCTGTGTACAGGCAACTTATTTCCTTTGCCAGGGCTGCTGACAACCTTTTCCACACTATATTAATCTTGTTTACAGACTTTATCTTGGTACAAATATCAGAAAACTGAACTTTTTATCTCAGGGAGAAAATAAACAACATGTTGACAGAAGCAAAAGCTATTTTCTGGACTAAAATTGGTTGTTTACCTGCAGCCATACTTATGGAAACAAGTTTAAGTTTCCAGCTTACTCAAAATACATAATCTGAAATTTAATAAGCATGGAAATTTCAAGAAAAATCACTTGATAAATTGCCAGTTTTAAAATAATATCTAAACCACAGAAGTATGTTTTTCCACTAATTTATATGAGAATATGATCTTGCTTGGAATACAGTTACAACTGATCACAAAGTACACTGCTGAGGTTTCTCTTGCACACCCTAGATAGCTTCAGTTACCAAGCAGCCACAGAATATTTATAAAACTAAAAACTCATAATGCATACATATAGATGTTTATATAAAACTGAATGCTGATTATTGTAAGATTCACAATATGTTGATACAAATGAATTCATATCTGAAGAAAACTGTTATCTAGGGTGTAAAAAAAACAAAACAAAACCTATTGCCAATCTTCATCCGCTAACTCAGTATTAGAAAAATCTACTGCAAAGTTCTGCTGAATCTCCACAGAAGAGAGAGCCAATTGCTCCAGAAAGTGGCAGGAGATTGCAGGACACTGAAATCAAAACAAATACCCTCTCAACCATTCAGATTTTTTATTAATGAAAAAAAGAATGCATAGTTATCTAGAATTGGTTTAGGTGATGAAGTCCCAGTGCACAAGAAGAAATTTAAGGTAAGTACTACCTTTCTCTTCGGATACTAAGAACAAGCAATGCTGAAAGTTTGCCCAACTAAGATTTTTAATTGAATGTATGTGAGCATGCGTGTCTGAGTGCATACATGTGTATCAGGGAATCAGAATTACTGTGATGGGAGTGTTTAGAAGACTGACAGATCAGGCCTGTTTTAAACTTTAAACTAAGTTCATTCATTAACAACACACTTCTTGGTAAATTCTTACACGCTATTAAACATCCTCCTTATATACAGAAGAGTGTTAGCGTTTAACACTTGTATGCTAAATTACCTGTGAGTGCATAGTATCATAGAGATGATGCTGTATAGTTAGAACTGATGGCTATGGTCCTTGATGGTTCTTCGCCACAGGGGTCAAGGTGTCCAGGACTGAGCCATCTGAGAAAAGACGTTGGAACTGAAGTGGGCTTTTCTTCTTTCTCATTGAATTCTCCTTGCTTATGTCTGATGTCTTTATGTTACTGTTCCCTCTGAAAAAGAGAGGGGGGGGGGGGGCCTTCTCTTTACCTGAGCCACGGGCAAGTTAAGTGCAATCTGAAAAAGCTCATTTTGATAATGTCCAAGTGCTGTAGACTACTTCTGCCACATGCTTTAGAGTAAAAAATGCAGCAGATTTTTTTTTCTAATAATATAAATATAGTAATATTTTTTCAAATCTTTTGATGGATAAACTTTTGGAAAAAATGCCATGGCATGCTTTAAAGTTCATACACAACATGAACAGAATTCTGGCTTCAAAAGTTCCTTCCTATGAGACATTAAAATGCCTAGGAAATGCCCAATAACCTCTTTCAAGCTTTTTAGCAGTATATTTAATGATCTGTGTTTCTAGAAGTTGCACTACCCCATAACCGAACACAATCACACTCATACTGGAACTTAGGTAACTGTAACTAATATAAAAAGTGGAAGTATTTCTAACTATTTCCTCTAACTAAGAATAGCAGCTTTTAAAAAACTTACTCGATGTAGCAAATGACTAGGAATGATGGCCTAGAGGATGAGGAACAATATCGACCTTCAAAAAGAAATATTACGGGTCTTCACACAGCCCAAGTGTGTTGCAATCTGTACTATGGCTTAGTTGCATAAAGCAGCAAAATAAGTAGGAGTGTAAAGGACAACCAGGGAAACCTTTGAGCCTCCTTGCTTTTCATCTTCCTCCTGTGCAAAGTCTCTCCAGCAACACACTGCACAAGAGACACTGTAATCTACAGTTGATATAACTGTTTTAATATGAATAAAGCTTAGGGTCATCTTTGGAACTCTTAATTTCTTCTGGCTACAAGTCCTTTTACCATTACTTGAATAAGACGACAGGGTGGTGGTTGCATACTGTTTACAGAGTCCCTGTAAACGTTTCCAAATGCCTCTTAAACACTGGCAGGCTTGGGGCATTGACCGCCTCTCTAGGAAACCTGTTATAGTGTTCAACCACCCTCTTGGTAAAGATAATGCTTCCTAATGTCCAGCCTAAACCTCCCCGGCACAGCTTTGAACTGTTCCCACGCGTCCTATCACTGGATACCAGGGAGAAGAGATCAGCACTTCCCTCTCCGCTTCCCTCCTCAGGAAGCTGCAGAGAGCAATGAGGTCGCCCCTCAGCCTCCTCTTCTCCAAACTAGACAAACCCAGAGTCCTGAGCCGCTCCTCACAGGACATGCCTTCCAGCCCCTTTCACCACTTTGCTGCCCTCCTCTGGACGCACTCAAGGACCTTCACATTCTTCTTAAATTGTGGGGCCCAGAAGTGCACACAGTACTCAAGGTGAGGCCGCACCAACGCTGTATTCATCGCCTCTTTTGACTGGCTGGTCATACCACTGAGTGAGAGGGAGCAAAACGTCTACTGTACAGTCACAGGTTGCTTGAACACTACCGTTTACTTTATATGAATACGGTAAGAGGTGTCCAAGACTGGAGTCTACATAGAACATTATTTAAAGAAAAAGAATCAATTTAGTGGATCAATTTATGCATCTTTTAATAAAATAAATATTATAGCACTATTTTAATTTACATGTGCTGTAGTTTAAAAAAAAGGTACTACCATGTGCCAACAAAAAATACAGTAAGTTAACACAAAACAAAAATACGTTACATCCTTACTTAACAATTCTGTTTACTTCTCATTTGAAGTATATTTCAATGTTCAGTTACTGAACAGCCCGTGGAAATCATTAATTATTTTTAAAGACACCTATAATACAGAACTCCCAAGTACAGATGTGTTCCACACACAGTATCTTCTTAATACTTAAAATAATATAAACCAAGTTAAAATGCATACTCAAGCATACCTCTTCTCCCTTATTTTTTCCCATGCTATCACACAATCAAGTGAACAAGTACACTTCCTCTTTAGAATTTATGTTAAGCTTAGGAAATACATTTCTGAAAAAATACAGACCACGTCCTATTCATAATTGTACTTCAGATATGTTTTCCATTACTGAAAAAATAAATTTCTTAAAAGTTAAGTAATTTTTAAATACCGAAAGTGATATTTTTGTGTTTTAA